ATGAAACCAGGAGATGTCCTTACTGAATCATCAGAGATGAACAGGTGATGGAGAAACAGGTTTACCTTTTAGGTGACATGAATGAGTTGAAGGGAAGTTATGAACTGTTTCTGAGAAATAACACCAGGATCTGTTTCTAAGTAGCTGACAGCTGGTAACTGTGCAGGGGCGGGTCTAGCAAAGTTTTGCCAGGGGGGGCAGGTAGGGCATTAACAGGGAGAGGGGGGCACAAAGATGTACTTTCTTATTCTCATTTAAAATGTCTGGCTGTTATTAAATAATTATCTGAATCTTACAACCAAAGGTGTTATCTGATGTAAAATGTATAGAAATCATACATATACCAACAAGACTGTACATCACTGTCACAACAGCGTTTGTTTTCATTCAAAGGCTTTATGGCTTTAATACCTGGTGGGCAGGTCTTTAGTCAAAATGCCCGCGCTGATTTTTTGTCCCAGTCCAGCCCTGGCCACGACACGCAGGGAATTAATCTGAGAAGGTGCATCAAAAAATAAATGGCCGCACCTCGGTGCACACTGCAAATTGGGACTTTCAGGTGTATGGACCAATGTTTTATTTTCTGATCAAACCAGAGATCTTTAATGAGCAGCTGGATTTGTCTCGCATTAACTGGCTGAGTTAATACCAGTTAATGCGACATCGAAGCAGCTGGAATCCACAGCTGTGCGTGTTCATGGAGCTGCATTTTCACCTGCTGGACATCACTACCTGACAAGTTTAACTGTCTTCAGAACATTGCAGAGGCCTTATTGACAGTATTTGGTTCTACATATCTGTGTGAGCAGATTTTCTCTCACATGAAGAGTGTCCTCAGGTAGCCGTCTGAATGGGCACTCAGAGACCTGTGTCTCTGAGTGGGAGACCAGAGATCACATTAACATGTGTGTCTTTGTATTAACAGACATGCTATATTGGCTTAGTTTATTTTTCTTATCATCGTTGTGAGGAGACCATAAATAACATTTGTATTTTCTGTTGTACAGTTCATTTGCTGTTATGGAGTTCTTGTTATGGATAAAAAGTGTCTTTTTTTTGTTTCAAAATAGCTGATAACTATTCGCTGACAGCTGCCAACATCTGCAAACAAATATAATTCTAGAAAGTGGTTCTATATATTGTGTAACTGTTCATATAGAGCGTTATTCAATTTATTGCTAATGCAATCATATGGCACACTGACTTCTGAGGAAATTTTAAATGGCACTCGTCATCAGAAAGGTTGCCGACCCCTGGTCTAGAAAAACATCAAAATATAAGAAACAGAAAATGCTGGGTCAAAATGACCCAGAACTGTGACAGTTTGGTTTGAAATGGGTAATTAGTTCAAGTTTAGTTAACTCTTATTTATCACACGTTTAACATTGATATCCATATTGTAACTGCAGAATCATCATGTTCCTGAATTATGAAGAAAAAAAAAAGTCACATGAAATAGGCCTGGCAGTGAGAGAACGATGAACGATCTTTCCAAACTTCCAAAGGAAGAGCTCCTTGTTTCCTTACATGAAGCAGATTTCCTGCTCAAAAATCGTTCGGCGTACGGCCGTCTTTCATTAGAGTATATGATATCTTCACTATGCAGTAGCCTACAGCTGGGCAGTGAAGGAAGCTGATATATCCTGTCCTCTGATCACGAACACACACAAAACTGAATGAAGGTTTCAATTTTGTGAACCTGACTCGAACTATCGTCACTTTGAAGTTATTTATAATCTGTCAGAATGATAAAAGTCTGTGACTGAATCATGAAGTGAACTCACACACTGGTGGAGAGTGGTAATCCTCATATCCTGTGAAAGCACAGGAGATGTTGTCTCCAGGATAAAAGCAGGCTGTATAAGTAGAAGTTTGCTGTTTTGTGTTTTTCTGTCCGTTCTTGAACCAGATGAAAGAAAGACGACCAGCTGGACTGCAGCTGCTTTCACACTTCAGCTCTGCCTCAGTCTGAGACTCATGGACTGATATTATTCTGCTCACCTTCACCTGCAGAGCTGTGTGAAATTAAAGAATGCACATTGTTAAATAGTCAAACCACAAAGACACCAACAAGTAAATAATTAACAACACAAGATTCAGTTTGTAAAATTCAACTGAATGAAATTATGAGTCACTGTGTATTCATCAGTACCTGTGACAGTCAGAGTTGTTCCAGGTAAACTACTCTTCCATTCAAAGTCTTGTGTTTTGAATTTGAAGTGATACTCGGCTGAATCACTCTCTGTCAGGTCTCTGATTCTCAGAGTGGAGCGTCCTCTCTCTCTTTCAGTCACCTCAGCACGATCTTTATACTGGGAGTCTTCTGTGAGATCCTCAGATCCACGACCAGAACGGAACCAGGACGTTGACTGGATTGAACTTTCATAACTGTTGTAAGTACAAGAAATGTCCACTGATGAGCCTTTGAATGCACAGATTCTTCTGTTACTGTAATTCACTCTGTTGCATGAATCACCTCGGACACCTGAAACATAAAATTATATTGAAGTCAGATTTAGAAAGTAGTTACTGTGAGTTTGACTATTTTTATTCAGATGTATGTAATGACTCTATGAGATGGTTTTATGTAACTGAAATAAACTCACACACTGAAGGAGAGGAGAAATCTTCATGACCTGTTACAGCACAGGAGTAGCTATCTGAAGGATTCAGCTTGGCTGAATACCAGTACTGGTTTCTACCAGAAATCTTGTGTCCATTTTTGTACCAGATGTAGGAGGTACGATAATTTAGTCGACAACTATTCTGACAAGTCAGTGTTGCCCAGTTGGAATATGATGTGTCCACGTGTACCTGAAGAGCTGAATATGTGAAGAAATAATATCAGAGGAGAAATTTTAACATCCATTATCCATACGCAAACACACACAGTCATGTTCATAACAATTTCTGACTGATGTGTAAATAAAAATTTTACCTGTGACAGTCAGAGTGACTCCAGGTAAACCAGTAAAATTTTTCCGGTCTGTTTCAAACCTGAACTTGTACACAGCTGAGTCGCTCTCTCTCAGGTCTCTGATTGTCAGAGTGCAGCTCTTCCAGCGAGAACTGTACGACACTCGACCTGCATACACTGGGTCTGTTTTCAGATCTTCAGGGTTATAATTGTTCCCTTTAGTGAACCAAACTCTTTTTAACACATTTACTCTTGAAGGATATTTGAAGGAGCATCTTATGTCCACTGTTGATCCTTTAAAGGCACAGATCTGAGTAGAAGTGTAAGTCACTGCATAATCATTCTGACTCTGTACCACTGTAACACAGAACACATCAGAAACTAGATTAATGACAACAACAAACATATTGTTTCAGTAAAAGTTCTGAGAACCTTTCCTCAGAATAAGCAGCACAGATTTATTGTTCCTGAGATTTTTTATCATGCATATGGTATTAAGTATTTAGGAAGGTATTTTTGTTTTTGTTGTTCTTGTTGTTTACATATGCGAGATCATGTCCATTCAGAAGTCTTCATCCAGTCAATTTCTGAGTGAGTTAATGATGTGATTTTTCTTTGAAAACAAGTCTTTGCAGGCTGTGAGAATGAGTCAAAACAGTAAGTACATCCATCCATTCGCTGGCAGGGGGCTGCAGCCTATACCAGCTGTCTTAGGGCAAGAGGCAGGGTACACCCTGGACAGGTCGCAGGTCTGTTGCAGGACTAACACATAGACAGAGATAACCATTCACTCACATTCACTCCCGCATTCACACCTATGGGCAATTTAGTGTTTCCAATTAACCTATCCCCACTAACTGCATGTCTTAGGACTGTGGGAGGAAGCCAGAGTACCCAGGGGAACCCACGCAAACACGGGGAGAACATGCAAACTCCACACAGAAAGACCCCGGCCTGATGGTGGAATTAAACTCAAAACAGTAAATCAGTAAATCAAAAACAAGATAATAATAATGGTATCTGTGAGTTTGTTATTACAAATATAACAATTTGCATAATACATCCATTACAGAAATATGACAAAATGTTGTCAAATGTTGTCTATGTAAAATAAATTGCAGTGGCATGAAAGGGCCATTATATAGTGTAGTAAATTATTCAGGTGACATACAAATTTCGCTGTGTGCCTAGAATTTATCTCACAATATAATTTACAAAACATGTGTTTGTGCAAAAAACAAAGAAAAGAAAAGAAAATGGCTGGGAATTCACTTTCTGTTTGTCTGTTAGTTTCTGTTAAGAAACTTCAAACCAAGTTAAAGCAGCCTGAAAATTGTATTTGTCCATTAAATGCAGTGGAGACAATAAATAAAAAAAACTTTTCTACGATCTGTATTCAGTTGCAGTATTGGAAATGCAAACCGTTAACAGCTCTGTGCTGCAGATGGTGTGGTGTAAAAACCAATCAAAAACAGTTCAGTTGTGATCTACCTCAAGACTGAATTACTATTACAGAATTACCTGGCAGCGAGAGAAGGAAGAGAACCAATCCAGTTGCTGCTGCAGTTGAACTCATGGCTGCTCCTCTCGTCTCATAAATCCCATCAGCAGCTGGATCACACAACATGTAACATGTTGTAAACCAGCCACGATTTCTGCCAGTGTTGAAGATGCTGTCTCTGAAGACCGTGCTCTCTGTGGTTGGAAAATGTAACAGAGTTACCTGGCTGTCTTCCTTCCTCTGTACATGCTTAACATGCATGAACAGACTTTAAACCTGTAAACCCCCGCGCTTAAATAAAGAAGTGATTCTCTCACAACACTTTGCATGCAGCTTTATGTTCTTAAAATATCACCTTAAGAAAAAAAGGACTGCCTCTGATACAACTGCTGAGGACAATAGAAAACATTTTAACATGAGTCTTTTTGAAGACTTCAAGCCTGACTTTATTAATGATCATTTTGAAAACTGGGCCATGAATAGATTTTAATTTAATTTGTGTTCATGGGTTCAAGTTCAGTTTAAATCTCTTTAGAGCTGTTTTTTGTCCAGAAGGAAGATAATAACTGCTGAGTGGAATCCTAACAGTTCAGTAGTAGGACGGCTAAAAAGTATGCTAGGTATAGCTAATATACTGATAGAGTTTTAAATGACTAAAAAATGTTCTTTGGCAAGCTAGGCTAACCCTTAAAACAAGTTTAAGTAGGGATCAAAGGAGCTTGCAAAGAAAAGCGTCTGGACTCCTTTAAGTTGCTTGAAGACGTTTCACCTCTCATCCGAGAAGCTTCTTCAGTTCTAAGGTCAAAAGTTTAAGTAGGGATGTTTTGTTACCCCCACTTCTGTGTGTAGTGTGGCTGGTAAAAGTGAGGGTAAACAATACCCTGATGCAAAAAGGAAACAAAGCAGAAAGAATCACTAAGTGCCCAGCAAAGTTAAAATTGATGCAGCAAAGCTGATGGGAAATTGGGGATTGCATAAACTAGAGACTAGACTCAGACAATATTTAAGGATCTTCTGCCAGCTCTGTCACAGCCCCACAGCCATGTGCCTTGCTTTCTGCCTTGAATTCTTAGTTATTATAATCAAGAGTGAGTTATGTGTTGTTATCTTGTTATTTCTCTGTAGGAAGTTTAGATTAAGATGCCACGTCAATACTTGCCATCTCACATATTGATGTGCAGTTTAAATATTGATGTGGTGGGAAAGAAGGTTTGCTGTGTCTCACAAGCATGCACAAGGTTACAGGAGACAGGCAGCAGCACCCTGACTGCCAAGTTTCAGGATGAAATCCCTGGACCCAGTGTCATTACCTACACTGCTGCAGTGTGTTACTTTAGTGCAAAGTCTTTATAAAATCAAGGAGACTGTGGTAGAAGATGATTGTTTTCTAAAGCTCTAGCAATGTTTTGAATCCAAGAAGTCCAACAAATGCAGTGCCTCCAAAAAGCTGTTAAATGACTCTTCTAAAAGATTCAGTATTCAGCAAAGGAGTAAATAATGCAGTGGGGTTTTGAGTTCTTAATCACACAAAAGTTATATTCAAAACCTTTGTTATGAATCCTGATTCTGTTTAAACTGCTACCTCGGTTAGAGGACTGCACGGTTAAGATGCAACCACAACATCTAAAATCGCTCAACAGTTCTCTTTTGCCACAAAGATTACATAAACCTTTTCACCAGGGGCAAACCAGAGCACAGGATCAGAAAATGAAACCAGCAGATACAGAACATTGCAGCTCAAACCAGCCCCTGAATACTGTGGTTAGTAAAAAAGTGGTAACTGGTGTGGCAGCTGGAGCCTGTTAACACAAGGGCTTCACTTGCAGGTGGAGCAACCACAAAGCCAGCCAGACTCGCCACCTGAGAGAGAAAGAGGAAAACAAAATACATGCCTGACAGTCAACAGGACCAAAAAGATCAGTGGGTGTGTGTGGGTGTTCCTGTGCTCCGTGCAGGTCTGAGAGCCACATCAGTGTTCTTCTTCAAAGCTGTGTTCGTACCTCTCATCAGTTAAGAACCTGCTCAATGACGGACTTATGATCTGCAAAGGGCACTGGGACCTCCTGATGAAATCCACAGTGTGTGTAGATTAGTTTATTAACAGGTGACACATAACAGAAAAGACTAAGTCAGGTATGTGCTGACTCAGCAAGGACTCTATAAAGAAAAGTGAAACACAATACCGGAGAGTTTTCCTTTAAATTTTCACCTGGTGCCTGTGAACTGTTCATTCTTTTAAATGCTTTGGATTCAGTTTAACTCAGTTCAAGTTTATTTAGAAAGCACCAAATCAAAGGTCCCCTCAATGACCTTTGTACTGTAAGGTAAAGACTCTTAAGTAATAAGGATCACAGTGGGCTCATTACTAAGGCATTACAGCTGTCACTGCTTATTTTCTAACATTACACAGAGCAACATGCCAAGCACACGTATGTGTATCATGACAGATACACATCAGTACAGCCTCTGCACTCATTAGATGCAACTAATACTTGTCTGAAATCTAAGATTAATCTTCACACCAATGATTTCTTCTGATCTTGAAAATGTTATTTTTACAGTTCAGTTCAGTGACTGTGAGCTAAACACACACACACACACACACACACACACACACACACACACACACAAACACACACACTCTCCCTTGCTGAAGTGTGTGAGTGTCCTCTTGTGTTCATAACGATGTCCTGCAGTGTTGCAGATATATTTCAGCCAGAAATGATCACCTACACAGCTCTGATTTCTTCCTCTGCCACCGATGAAAGACAGCATGGATGTGCTGTAGGTGTCATTATGTGTATTTAATATGAAGCCATCATTTAGCAGTCTCAAAGGATTAATTACTAATGAAGCTGCACGCCCCTAGTCAAGGTGTGTAGGGACGCACATAAGGTTGGAGGAGAGAGAGACAAATCCCCGCCCTGGTTCCCAAGCCAAACATCCAAACCAGTTGTGAGTAAAAAGGTGATTTTATTTAAGGAAAAGAAGCATAGCTCCAGGGTGAGCCCAGGCCAAAATAATAAACAAAACCAACTAAGTCCCACCAGAGAAAACTAACTAAACCCTAGGAAAGAAACAGAACAAACAAATGACAGAGCTATCCCTCGCTCCCTGACCGAAAACAGGAGAAAACGATTCCAAAAGAAAAGGCGCTCACCCCTTCCGCTTCAGCCCAGAGTGCCTAAGCTCTCAGCTAATGCACAGGAGCGGCTTTACAATTCACCCTCACACAAATACACAAATAAGACAGGCTGGGAAAACCAGGTCAGGCCGCGACGGCTGCAGGCTACTCGCTCGCTCCACTCTCTCTCTCGGTGGACTGTCAGAGCGGCTTTTTGAAGGTAGTCACCCGCTCCATGGTCCAATCAGCCGCTCACTACTCTTCATTAGGGGAGGGACCTGGAAAGAGTCTTAAGCACAGTACAGAAACACAGAAAGAAAACAGCCCACACAGGGTCCTCATGGCCACAGCCGTAACAACCATTATCCAACACTGCACGTGTCATTGTCCACCCGAGATTTACTTATTCTTTTAATGACTCTGATTCTGACTGAAATGAAAATGAATACATTATACAGATATGAATACAGCTGGTTTTATTTGGACCTTTCACAAGGTAAAAATGGCCTGTATTTGTAGCGAAAAGCTGCTCAGATGACAGTGTCATCAAATGAAAGTAGCTCAGGATGCAGAGCGGGTCATCTACATCAGAAGGTTGGTGGTTTGGTGCCTGGCTGCTCTCAGTCTGCATGCCAAATATCCTTACACTTCCTTCAGAGTATAAATGTGTATGAATAGAAGGCACTTACGCTTTGAAAAAAAAGTGCTTGTCTGAACAAATGTGAACGAAGCAAATTGTATGAAGCATTTTGAGTGCTCTGATAGAGTAGAAAAGTTCGCTATAATAAACAGTCTATTTACTATTTAGCAAGGACAGCAACCACAAAAAACAGGAAGATGTAGCATGTTCATAAACAGGGATTATACTGGCAAAGGACGAGTTGATTCCTAAACTAAAAGCTGGAAGAGAAAGTGGAGACGTGTCTTTTTGAAACTGAAAAAGAAGCAGAGTTGATAAGAACATGCTTGTATAGCGGGCTGCCAAGAAAATACAATAAAATGAGGAAAAATGTCACCAAACTAAATCAAAAGTAAAAGACGGCTGTAGAGCCAAGCAGAACAAAGCCATAAAACAGAATGTCAACAACCTACATTAGTGGAAGGGAAGCTTTAACACAAAGTCCAATGAAATTGCAGGTTCGGTTTGCAGGGTGAGGTGCATTAATTAAGAAAGCAATAAAATAGCTTATACATTTTGTACATGGAAGTAAAAACAATTTAGTAACAAGTCTGACAGAATACCAAGAACCTGACAGAGAGGAGGAAAACTGAACGATCCACTCATGGTGCTTATAAACCCATAGCTGCTCCTTTCATCTCTATTCAAACCCATCTGCAGGCACACTCTGCCCCGGGCAAACTCAATTAGCTAACATATAGAGCACTCGTTCAGGAGGATGTGGTCTCGGACAACACAAACAAACGAAAACCCACTTCTGTTTAGATTGTGGTTGGTAGACTCCTCAACAATAAATCAAATAGCTCACAATGGGATTGCTTTCTTCTGCCTCACATTACTGAAAAATAAGAGTTTAATACGCATGAACACACATAATGAGAGCATCTGTATCTCTGTCTTCTGTTTTAATAACACAGAGCGAAGATCAAACCATCACTCCCAAACCCGAGAATTTCTCTGAAGAACAAATGCAAGCAGCTGGAAACTAAAACAACAAACAGTAAGGGAAAATAAAAGGTCTCATATATCAGTTTATTGTTTTATGCAAATATTTATACATTTTATATGCAAAATCTAATTTTACTGATATGAAAATAACTTCTTTTTAAAATCTGTCCCAGTGTCGGACTAAAGTGTTTCCAACATGGTTCAACCAAACATTTGGACCATAAATCTCTGCGACATGCGTCTGTGCACAAACCAGGAGCTCCTGTTTCTGAAATCCAAGTGAAGCCTTGAAAAATACATTTCCACTGAGGACTGTCTCTGCTACAAGATTTTCTTTAAAATGGATTTATTCTTCCCCGGATCAGGGTCTGCATAACGTCCTTCATTATTTCAGAGTCACATCTTCTGACTTTGGTTATCACATGTGATCCATGTCTCAGGTTTCTTCACAAACATTCAGTTGTCAGTGTTCCCAAGTGGACTTTGATGTGCCTTGCGGGCAGGAGCTGAAAAGATAAGGGACATCATGGTTGCCAAGACTTCTTGTCTCGACCTTGCTGGTCTGGTATGTGTTTGAAGCGGCACTTGTCGCCATAGAAACAGCCTGTGGTCCGCCAGTAAAAGCACTCATCTCCATTTAAAGGTGCCCGCCATCGGGACCTGTGTGGACAGAAGCAGAGGAGATCCGATAAGAGATCAATAAGAAAAGTAACATCTCTCAGCTACTACTGAAAACTATTCTACGGTGATTTTGTTTGTGTCACACTGTAAGGGACCCTCCCTCTGGAAAGCCCACAGATACACATTAATGAGTCGCTCTGTACCCAGAGGCAGCTGAACTTGGCTGAGTTCCTGCAATGTTGGAGGCCAAGCTGCTGCTGCTTCTTTGCATGGAGGACACAGTCCTGTGGATCCAGCGATCTGGGTACCTCATCACCAGCTTGTTGCCCCCGAGCTCCACCCCCTGGACAGAAGGACACAGTGCAGTTAAACTTTTTTAAGACAAATTTTCATGACAATATTCAGTTTTTTGACACTCAGAAGTATCAATCAGCGTAACGAAACACAGACAGTCCCAATGATGAAGACGGTTTCTAGGCCCGTCACACACCTGCAGCTTGTCCAGGGCTTTGGCAGCCATGTTGGCGTTCTTGAAGTTGACAAAGGCACAGAAGCGTTCATGAAGAACTCTGATGCTTTCAATCTCACCGAAGCTGAACACACACAGAAAAGGTTAATACTATTAATAAACTATCACTGCTGGAAACTCTTTAAAGCTTTAATGTCTTCATAGACACACACAGACACACACACACACAGTCTTTACATTTTGAAGAGATCACAGAGGTCCTTCTCTGTAACTTCCTGTGTAACGTTTCCAACCCACAGAGAGCGACAGTTTCTGAAAGACAGGAGCAAAAAACAGAGAAGCGAAGGAAACGAGTGTGGCGACCACACAGAAGGGAAAGTGTGGTTATTGTTCAGTGTTAACAGATGACAAAGATGCAGAACTATTTTCTCACTTGTATCTACATGTCTCTTTCTATGAAGGAAATAAAAGAAACTTGTTGTGTTTCATTCCATTCAAATCACAACAAAGATTTCCCGGAAAGGTGCTCTGGGTTTCTGAATGTGTGATAGATGGGTGAGGTAATAACCTACCCACTCTGGTCCTGCTGAGAAAAGAGCTTCAGAGCTACGAGAGAGAAAAACGAAATACTTTGTCACAAAACGATTTAAACAAACAAACTCCTTAAACTTGCTTTAATTTTGGTTTTATTACAAAATACTGTCATTATGCAACAGTGCTGCCTCATGGTGGACAAAGGTGACATTGCAGGCAGTTCTTACTTCTGGCTTCAAATTGGTTGACGACTGCCTGAACAGTGGTGAACTTTTGTAGAAGCTCTTTGCTCTGCGCCTCATCGAAACCCATCTCCTGCAAAAACAAAGTTAAAAATCATTTATGTCAGACAATAGAAACATTTTACTGTCATCACTTGGAAAGCAACATCAGCTCGAGTTTGATTTAATAAACACAGAATTGACTTTTTATTGCTCATTTTCAGCAAAAAAGAAATCTTACAGAATATTGGCTTATAACAATAATAAGCTTTTATCTATTTTCTAAGTCATCTAAGTTCAATGTCTAATCTCACATTCGATGAAATTCAAACGTAAACTACAACAGGTACACATCTAAAACTGTGTGAATAAATGAAGGAATCTGGTGGAGTTTAAGGACAATGTGCAGCTGAGTTGAGCTTTTTCTCTCAGTCGTGTCCCATCGTCCTGTTGGACACCAGCAGTAAACAGCTCACTTTGGTTTGTCTGCATTTCTAAGCACCAACAGTAACTGGTATTCCCAAGAATTTAGGATGTTTTATACTTTTTTAAAGAATGTGAAATGTTCTTGTAAATTTAAGTTTTTAAAATATCTTCCAGGCAGCTGTTATACCCCAGAACCCTGAAGTCACTCGTGACGTTCCTCACCATGAGCTGAAGGACCCGACAGTTAAAGAGTTTTTTGGATGCTTCCTTACAATTCTGATCCAACTCCAGCACCTTCTCCAGGGCCTTCTCTGCTTCACTGTACCGCTGTCATTTACACAGACACGCAACAGCAGTTAGTGAAAGAAGGAGTGGAGGAAATAAAACAATAGAGTGTTGTAGCATCTTTTATGCAGAAACATATAAAAATACAGACACAGTTGCTTGGCATTGAAATGTATTATTTGTTATATAGAACTCACTGACCTTTAAGCCCACCAGAGCACAGCCCTTACGAAAGTATCCCTTCGGCCAGTCGGGAGCCAGCTGGATGGACCTTCGAGCATCACTCAGAGCTGAGGAGTACCGCTCCAGAAACCAGTGACAGTACGACCGATTTCCATATAACCTGAGGCACAAGAAGAGACACGCACACACAGGCAGCAGGAGACTTTATTCAACCAAAGTGGATGTGAAAAAGGCTGAAGTCTGAGCTGGAGTCTGGGTTCACAGGTCAGCTCACCTGTGATCTTTGGGGTCGCAGAAGATGGCTTCTGTGAACATGTCCACCGCCTCTGTGTACTGGGCTTGCTCGAACATCTTAATGCCCTGCACTGGAGAAGGTCACACACACTTTTATGCGTAGAGTAGGGGTGACACATTCATTTTTTTGTCTTAATTCTTACTTATTACGCACTATCTGGCCACTTTATTAGCTATGTTTTTGGCTAGGCCAAACCATCCAATGTAGCAATGTCTGTTTTCAGTTCTCTGTGCTGCTGCAACCGTCTGACTTTCATAAACAGCAACTCGCTTTCCTACAGGCAAACAATCCAGCAGCAACAATTTATGATTAGCATTTTCCTTTTTGTTTATCATTATTAATATTATTATCATTACAACTGTTGCCATTATTACAGACTCAGTAATAAACAAAGTAGACTGATCACTTTTGTTGACAATATTTTAAAAAACTGAAAACATAGCTGCTTCCTAAACATAAAATTTACAAGACGTGCATAATTAAAAGGCCAATGAGTATATATAAGCACATATTATTCATGAATTACATAATTGAATACTGATCAACGCTCCTGAAATAGACACCATCTTTTAGAGAGAAGAAATATTTCTTCCTTTTTTGGGGAATGACTAAATATTTTGCAAATTTGGTCCAAAATTTGGAATTTGACTGGGCTTAAATCTAAAAATGGACTGATGGCATCTTGTGCACTGAAATTATTGCAAGGCTGCAGCAATGTTCCCTCTAAGCTGCGCGCGTGCGCAATTGCGCACTGCTGGCACGGTCTCTGCGCACAAAAAATCTGTTTTGTGCATACAAAAAATCTACCGGTAACCTGAATTGAAATTAAAGTAAATACATTAACAATCTGTTTTGCAGTGTTAGTGACTGGCTGCTCCCGTATGGGATCAGAACGCTGCCACCTTATCCCATAGTCCAGCCAATCACGCGATTCACATTCGTATATACGCAGCTAATCAACGTCGTTGACAGGCTATGACAGCGTCCTTATGTGCTGACACCGGTGTTTTAGCGAGCAAAGCGGCGTGGCTGATGTGGAGTGAAGCCACGTTAATGACAACGTGTACAACCATTGGAGATGTGAGCAGGATAGACGGAACCCAGCCTTTTCTATTGGTCAAAAAATGTACCATGTCGACCAATCAAAAAATGATATGGCAACATGGCATTTAGTGGTTTATAAAGGGGGAAGTTTTAGGAGTGACGGCGGTGTTTGAGATGTGAGAGATTTGCGACGTTTAGCGCAAATCTTGTGTAGTTAGTGTGTAGTGTAGTCAATAGTTTTGTTGTGTGTGTCAGAACAATGAGGCGACTGCTGAATGTTACAGGTGTTACAGCAGTGACACATCTGCTGTTGTCAGGCCTGCAGGTATCAGGCTGGTGTTCTCCTTCATCTCATAGTGGACAGAAATGATATTTTGGAGTGGCACAAATAATTTGTGTGGCATCAAATTTGATGCAGAACAGCTGATTGTTCTGTAAATAATTTGAAATGTTTATTTAAAAAACGCCTTGGCTGCATTTTTAGGTAAACAGCTGAAAAAAACTTTGTTTGCAAAACTCAGTAACTTTTTTGAAGAAGTAACTATATAATTAATTGCCCAACATTGGTCATTATATGCTGTATTTTGCAGACAGAGTTACAGGACTCTCTCCCAGACCACAGACTCATAATACAAGTCAGAGCTTTATAAAAAAAACAAAAGAAGAAGAAGAAAAAAAAGAAAAAAGAAAGTTGTGTTTTCAAAATTGGAGTTCAAGTTATTTTTACTTCCAGTTGTGTTAACATGCTACACAGGTCATGAACAAGATTTTTTTTTTAAATTTTCATTGTAAGTGGGCTAAAGCAGTTAATTAAAAGTAGTGTAACATAAATGTAAATGCTGTAATGTGATTATTTTAATAAACCATGTAACTTGGATGGATTCGATGCTGGTGTGACCACAGTGCACACGTCTGCTGTGGCTCACAGTGGTCCAAGTGTCCGCTCAGGGAGTTTGTGTGTTCGCTCAGACACATGAAAAATTAGAGGGAACATTGGCTGCAGGATAGAGCTGAAGAAGAACACATGAGCAGACTCACATGTCAGGGACTCCCCCATCCTCCTCATTTCTTCTGTGTTCTCCTCCTGAAATCACCACAGAAAGTTCTGTCACTGCAGTCACATCACTGGTTTCTAACTCAAAATACATTTAGCCAGCCGTACATGAAAGAGGATGGATCATATAAGCTCATCTCTGGGCTAGATCAATGGACCATAGGCACAAGCAGTGTGTGCGCGCGTGCGTGTGTGTGTGTGTGTGTGTGTGTGTGTGTGTGTGTGTGTGGTGTGTGTGTGTGTGTGTGTGTGTGTGTTCCGTGTGTGAGAGAGAGAGAGAGAGAGAGAGAGAGAGAGAGAGAGAGACAGAGAGAGAGTACCTGGCTGCTCCTGGCCTCATTTTCCTTGTTCTCTCTGGAGATTTGCTTTGCTCTGTTCATCAGGCCTTTCAGTTTAATGTTGTTGGCAGCGTTGGCCACAAATGCACTGCTGATATCCCACTCAGGCTCCTGAACCACAGGAAGTAACACAAAACCTTCAGTATTATAGAGTGACAAAAACTGAAGATGTCAATCTGCTCTGACCTGCTCCGAGCTAAAAATACATAAATCAGACTGGCTGATCTTTATGATCCTTTATGATCCAGAACTGGAGGCGCTGAATCCAAAACACGGCGCAGTAGCTTTAGTATTTTTTAGAGGTTTTACTGTGTTTGTGCACAGATCTCTTAGTTCTCACATCAGTTGCCTAAGTCACAGTTTATCCATAAATCAGAGCTTACCTATTCATAGAAATGCAAATACTTTCTAAGACTCTGAGTCGTGTCTTTGTGTGTGTTCAAATAGTTCTGAAACACATAAAAGTCAGTGCAGGTTTAATTTTATGATAATAGGAATACAGGTGTTGTGTACAAGTCTTTCACAGTCTAAGACCTGTATTGCTTAAAATTATTAAGGGAAAGATTTTTAATCAGAGTACAACATCAAGTCAGCTGCTTTGATATTCATGAAAATAACAACAGCTGCACTAAAGGGACAACAATGAGACAACCCATGAAACAGGAATGGTGTGGGACACCATGGACACTGAGGTTTTCTCCCTCCTCATCTTTTCTGACCTTTTTCATTAATTGTGCATTTGGTTAGAGTCAGTGTCATGAGGTGACACTTGGATCCTACAGAGGTTGCACAGATAATGAAGGTCTGCTATCTCCCAGCACAGTCTCAAGAACACGGAGGAGATTCCAGGAGACAAGCAGTTACTCTAGGAAAGCAGGACAGGACCATAGAAGGTCCTTCACCCATCAGCAGGACCGCTATCTGCTCCTTTGTGCGAGGAGGGACAGAATGATCACTGCCAGAGCTACAAAATGACCTCCAGCAGGTTACTGCGTGAATGTCTCTGACCAAATATTTAGAAACAAACTTCATTTAGCGCCCAACATCCCCACACCCTGGCCCTGTGCTCAGTGCCCTGCACCATGGGGCCAATTAGCATTTACCATAGAATACCACAATTGACATCTCCACCACTGGCGCCCTGTGCTTTTCACAGATAGGAACAGGTCGCTGCCTGTAGCATTGTCCAGCAGTGGTTGTCTAAAATGGCACATCTATGGACCGACACCCAGACCTCTACAGGCTAGGCAACAGCAACCTGACTTCCATTATGGATTGGGATAAAATTCTTGGATCCAGTGTCAACACCCTACACTGGTGCTGTAGGTCCTGGGTCCTCCTGGTATGGCAAGAGCATGCAGGCAGTTCCTGGAGGATGAAGGAAATGTGATACCACTGACTCACCCTCAAACTCGCCTGACTGAAATCTAATAGAATACCTCTGAGACATCATGTTTCGTTCCATCTGACGGCTCCAGGTTGCACCTCAGACTATCCACGAGGTCAGTGATACCCTGGACCTCATAGAGTTCCCCCAGGACACCATCCATTGATTCACTTGGAGCATATTGTTAGGCATGCATACAAGCATGCCCAATCAAACTATTAAATGAGTTGCAGCAATGCAATTTCAGCAAAATCTTTGACTTTTGGGTGTCTTTGAATTCAGCCCTCTGTAGGTTAATCATTTTTATTTCCATCAGGTTATGTGGCCTCCTTTGGGTCCTAACACAACACCCAGTCCATGTCAGGATAGATGTTTAACATGTCCTTTTTTCGCATTGAGATCTGCCACTGCCACTGCTTTAAGCTTTTTGAACAGTGTATGTGCATGACAGTGCACCGTCATACCAAGTGCAAGTCATACCAAGCATGTTTGGAGCAGGTTATTACAGAGTAGAAATCAGTGTTTTCTATGATAAGCCTCATGTGTCGTACTTCCAGAACACCTTGCAGGTCTGTTAAACCGTTGAGTTTCTCTTTTGCTTCGCTGGATGAAATATGTTCACAGACACTCTGTTTTATTATTTATTTCCCACCAAATGGACGGGATAAAACACTAAGTACGGCTACCTTGCTTCAACCCACCTCATCTGACATCCTGTGGGACAGCTGGTGGTTTGTCTTGCTCTCCGTTGTGACGGCAGCCACTGATTCAGGATTGCATCTGGCTCTGGAATGAACGGCAGTCCATCGCTCTTCTTCTTTCATCTCCTCATCACTGTCAGTGTCTGACACTTCTCCAGCTGCTTCCTCTTCCTGTTACAAAATAAAAGCATCACTGTGGAATAACTATAAAATCATTATATAAAGTGACTGGATAAGCTAGGCCTTCTTCAGTGTGGGAGTAGAACAACTCGAAACCTTGAGCTTTTGATGAACTGGATTTGTAAGAAGAATTTGTCTTAACTCAGTATTAGGCAGTCTCTCTCTTTTGTGTTGTATTTGACAGAAAGTGAGCATTTTATGTGTTAGATTAAAGCAGCCAATAAAGAAGAAAACAAGTGGTGATGTGATTGTTTTCTCTTATGCATTTTATAAGAGCCTACATTATAACAGAAGAGCAAAATGTTGTTATAATAAAGCCTTTAAAAATAAATGTTGAGCAATTACAATCTAAATCACAGACTGTACATAAAAATACAGACTTATGACTTTTGTACTTATTATAAAAAATAAGTAAGATGCAGATACCTGTGAGAACTGATACCTGTCTTTAAATTTACAATAAAACACAGCCTAGCTGACCTCAGAGCAAAGGACACTGAATGGGGCTGTAGCAGAGTAAATGGTTTTGTGTGCAACCTACAGGCAAAGGTAAGAGCTGTGATTTCTACACAACAGATTTCTATTGTCTGTAATTTTGTATATAGTTTAAGAACATATATAATACTGTATAATAGTAAGTGTTGTCATTAAACCACCATTGTAAAAAGATGACAGTTCCACCTGTGGTAACATATATTTGCTGCCTGCAGTAGAACAACACAAAGACACCAAGCAGAAAAAAGACTTATTACATGAATCAGATACTGCATAACGTGGAGTGAAGGTGGACTGCAAAGTGGCTTGCAGAAGCACAGCAAGTGTGGGCAGGATAAGGCAACTCAGATAGTGTCCCAGCTAAGTGTGTGAAAGGGTATGAGGCATCAGGTGATGTGGTCTGATGATTGCAGTGAAAAGAAAGAAAAGAGAAAGAAAGAAAGACAAATGTGAATATTAGCACCGCACCTGCTCTGAAGCATCCTCCATCCTCTCCTTTCGCTCTAGTTTCCTCCGTTCTTTCTGCCTCTGAAATTAAGAGCAAGGACATGATGGCTATTGGATGATAGATGATGACATGAAACATGAGTAAACAGAGGTGGAGAAGCACACGTGTATTAGAATGTATCATAAAATGAGGAAAGAGGTTGGTTAATGCATTTAAACAATGTGTGTGAACAGGTGGAGCAGCAGGGAATGTGAGTAGTGCTAAGATGTATGATAATGTAGCAGATGCAGTCATTTCAGTTAGAAAACAGCTTTTAACACTGACAACATACTATATAAGCTGTAGGTATCGTAATAGTACTGTGTAGACCTGAGCCACCACTCTGTTCTTTACACTTCGCTTCCAAGCAGCCAGACACTCGTGTCGTTTTTAAAGTGGGGTTTTTTTGGCACTAGTTCTCCAGGCTTTTTGAAGGTTGGCTGCTTTTCCACTTATCCACTCCTTGAATCTGATCATTTTAACTTAACTTTCACATCATCAATAAGCAGAGGCGGACAGGAAAGAAGTACAACAATGAGTGTCTACAGCCAACCTGTAACACAAAGCAGAGGCTCTGTCCTTGTTTGGAAGTCAAAATTACTGGAATTATGAATACAGAAAAGTACACGAAGATATTGATCCACCGTGCAGTGCTATCTGGAAGGGATCTGATTACCAACAGCTTCACATTTCAGCATGAAAATTATCCTAAAAACAATCCCATTGCAGTAAAAGCATACATGAACACACAATGAAACACTATCAGCCATGGATTTCCCCAGATCCCAGACCGCAACTTTATTGAAGCAGTGTGGGATAATTTTAACAGAGAATGGCAGCTTTAAATGCCCTTCAAGAAGCCTGGAGAGCTATGCAGGAAGACTACTTTTACGAGAAAGTGTACAAACTCTGTTTTTGGCTTTGGCTTGTACATTAATACCATTCATGTTTACACGTTTAAATAAATTGCTGTACCTACTTCACATTTTCCTAGTGGTGGTTCAAGACTTTGTACAGTGCTGTTGTGACTTTTTTTTACTTACTTTCCTTTTGGCCCTCCTTCTTTCAGCTTTCCTTCTTGTTCTTTCCTCATCATCCAAATCCTCTTCATTGTGCATCATGGCCTGCTCCACAAACAGGAGCAAACACACACACATTCATTCCATGACTGGCTTTAAACACCAGCTGACCAAATGATGACGCATAGTTTATAATCGCTCAGTGTACCTGTGATGACTTCTGATCTTTCCTCCTGTGTGATGGGTCATGGGGTCCATTCTGAGCCTCCATCTCCTCCTGTCCAGAACCGTCTAGACACAAACAAACAGGAATATTCTCATTGCACTGAGCCGTTTTCCTGCAAAGTGACAGGACACAAAAGGCATGACGCGAAAACACAAACAGCCACTTTGCTATCAGTTTAACTGGGCCTCTAATGACGGGCATTTGACTATATTTTCTGTAGAGTACGAGAGCACGTGCTCAATTCAGATCTCTGACTGGCCAATTTCCCTTGCAAAACCATGCAGGTGATCGTGTGGCAGCTTCTTACAGAAGGAAAGAAAAGGAGGAAACACATAAATGTGTCACCTTATCTGGTCTCATGTTTCCCCTTCTGTTTCAGCCTTCTGGGCAGCTACAATAAACACAACTGCTATTAACTTATTTAAATACAGGCCACTGTACATCTCTATTCTTAAAGCGTGAAAGAAAAAGCACAACACAGGATCACGGAAAGGTCAAAACTAAGATGTCAGTTTGCTGTTTGGGTCAAACAGACGCTATGTAAAACTCAAAGTACAACAAATATATCAGTGCCAAGTTAGATATTTGTTTAAACTGAAAAACATGCAAATAAATCTGCCTGTTTCTCCTGATAACGTCAGTGGGTGCATCTACATCATTCAAGACCACAAGACAATTTTCCTTCATGTAGTGCTTCCAGCTTACGTGCAACTGAAGCTACTTTGTTGTTTGGGTAAAAGGCACAGATGCAGGTGATTCTACACTCTATTTGTGGCATCAGTCTTTTCATTGATTCTTTTCTTTTCCCCCCTCGAGATGTTTGTCTCATGATTAAAGCCAAAATATAATCACAACTAACTCTGCGCTCTACACGATTCAATTGAAATTTTAATATGGTTAAAAAATATTGAAATCAGAAATGCAACTTGTTACAAAATGCAACATGCAAAATGTAAACAAAGCAGTTTTATGTAAGGAGTTGGGGAACTCCAGGCCTCAAGGGTCGGTGTCCTGCATGTTTTAGATATCACCCTGGGTCAACACACCTGAATCAAATGATTAGTTCATTACCAGGTCTTTGGAGAACTTCAAGACATGCCAAAGAGGAAATTTAGCCGTTTACATGAGCTGTGTTGGATCAAGGACACATCTAAAACCTGCAGGACACTGGCCCACCCCTGAGTTAGATGGTAATAAAGCCATCTCCATTGACAGGATCAGATAATTTAACAACTTAGGCTCTGGTTACGCAGAGGTGACCACCTTACAACCAACACTCACTACGGAGAAATGTGTATTTTCCAACCAGCCATTGATTTGTTGGCAGTTTAAACCCTTTAGATGGTAAGTGACCACCTGGTGACCACTAGGGAAAACGTGTATTACCAACCACTAGTGAATGGTTGCTGTAAGATGAAGTGGTATACAGATCTGCAACAAAAATTTCCTTCAGATTGCTTTGTGACAGTTTGCCATAGTCTCCTGTAGTTTGCATTGAAGATGCCAACTTGTCAACCAGAAACTATTGCAAAGTACAGTGGAACTCCGACTTACGAATACCCCATTTAAAGAAAAATTCAAGTTACGAAGGCACTGAACGGCAATATTTCTGCCCATGTTACGGCAAAATGCCCGTGTAACGAAATCCGCTGGCTCTGATTGGCTGAGCCTACAATGCCCACAATGCCTTCCGAATCATGTGACAACCCCTTGATCAACGTATTGTTGTTCTAGTTAGCAATTAGCCTATAGCCTATCGTTCAGCATCGCCTCACTCAAAAGGTGCCATGGGTGATTCGACTTACGAGAATTTTTGACTTACGAAAGACACTCGGGAACAAATTAATTTCATAAGTCGGGGTTCCACTGCACTTTACAGCCTTACTTACTTACAATCCAAGTCTCCAAGAATAGAATTACAACTAACAGTGGTAAATAACTAACAGTGGTGAAAACAATGAGAAAACACAGAACTCATGGAAAACAGCCACCATGACAAGAATAACGACTAAATTCCAACAATGCTAAAAACAATGGTAAAAAAAAAAAACAGCCAAACAGCAAGCTTGACCAGAACACGAGGGACCTCAGACTGGACCAGAAGCAGTTAATAATGTCTGATTTAAAACCGTCAGTTGTTGAACAGGTTCTTATGTTGGATGGGAAGATTATTCCAGAGCTTAAGGCCAATAATAGCAGAGGCCTGATGGCTTTGAGTCTTTAGGTGAGAAGAGGGAACTGCGAGAACTTGTTAGGATGATGAGTGCCTCAGTGACCTGGAGGCAAAATAGGGAGTTAAAAGATAATAATAATAATAATAATAATGGATTGGATTTATATAGCGCTTTTCAAGGCACCCAAAGCGCTTTACAATGCCACTATTCATTCACTCTCACATTCACAGATGTGTATTAAGGAGTTAATACAGGGCGGTGTTTAAAAGCGCATAACAAAAATGTAAAATCTTTAGAACCCCACAGGTAGCCAGTTCAGCTGAGCTAAAACAGGAGTGAAATTACAATCAAGCAGCTGCAAACAACAGAGATTGGAATTAGTCGAACTAAAATACAAGGAGCTGCAGTAGTCCTGCCAAAAAAGTGTGGATAACTGTTTCAGATCCTTCAGTGCAGCAGCGCTTTATCCCATCATTGTGCTTCTGTTTTTCTTTTTAATGTTATTGTGTTAAAGTGCACAGAACAAAAGAACATTTTGAGTGTGACTACTTCTCTACCTTTCTGTCTTCCTTTTTGTTTTTTCATGACTGTGACAGACCTAGTAGGTCCTAGCATGGTTTTTCCTATGTTGGCATGTATTACTTTCCCTCCCCTGACTAATGTTTATTACATGGCACCACAGTTGTGTCTGTTTGCATAAACATTTGCCTACACAGAGGGGTTTTCAACCTACACACACCTTCTCCCATGCAGTCCTCAGCACGTAGCTCAACTTTGTGTATGCTGAAGGCTGACTAGTTGACAATGCTGACAGATGTGAAAGAAACTCAATGATTAAAAATAAAATACACTATGAAAAGCACAGACAGTGGCTGCAGTGGGCATTTTTCACTGTTTTTAACACCTCGTTTCACTTCAACTCTTTATAGGTTACTAACGTTTCCACGCCTGGAAAGGACCAGCAGCTGCACATGTAAGAGTATCCCACAGGCTGGAGGGCTACTGTCTTTATTTGACAACAGCCACTTTTTGTAGGTAGACGGGCTGTCCATAACTCCTTATGGATTACCAATGGAGGAGCACATAGAGTCCATTGGGTATTGCCAGCTGCAGCTGACTCTACTTAGCAATTATACCAGGAGCACTTAAGTCCAGGAAGAGAGCTCCAATACCAGAGAGCTTTTCTCCAGTGTGTCCTGTGCATTTGTAGACTCTTAGTTTCTTAGAGCGTCCCTCCTTTTTTAACTTTCAACAGGTGAGTGGAGGCCGTGGTGAGGGAAACGCTTGTGGGCCACACGAGGAGATCATCATGCCTGAAAAATGCCTGACACATCTGAGACCCTCTGGACAGAAATAGTGCTCAAACAGCTAGAAGCATTCTAGAAATATTTCACTCTTGCTCTGGTTTAATTTTCAGCTGAACATTACCCAGTAAGTTAAACTTTTCAAATTCAAACAAGACACATTTACCAATCAATCAATTATTAAAAACTCAGACGGGATGCCAGAACTGGGATGGTCGAAAAAATGTCACACCCAACCGTTTCACAGATCAGTGACCTCGCGCTTAAACTAGAAGCAGGGAGGGCCAGAGCAGCCTGTGCATTTCAAGTGACTATATTTACTTTTTATAGAATATTTGACATGCCACTGAGATTTAAAGGTTTCAAGGGTTACAAGGGAACCTCCACCTTTATCACACTTGTTAATGACTATATTTGCAAGACAGTGAATCATGTAGTACTTAGAGGTTACTAAAACTGCCTGCGATTTTTTTACTTCCTGAAAAATCAATATGTTGAGTAGTCATAGATAGTTAGTAACTTGTTGAATTTTTTTCTCTCTAAAGTATTTCCTTAATAGGTTGCCAGTTTGAATAAACCATGTAATATGCAAACTTTGTCTGGTAAACATATTTAAACATTCATCAGACTTTTTTATTTAGACCAGAAGTTGGGTGAGATGCCAATTAAAGGAGCTACTGGTCATTTTAATTCTTGTGTGAGTTTATTTTTCAGCCATTCAAGATTTGGTCTGCTGTGTTATGAACAACAGAAGAGATCAAATGAAACAGATTTGAAACAGATTCTCCTCCTGCTGGCCACATACAGAATGTAAAAGGGAAATTTTTCCAGTGTGTTTTGTGTTGGTCATCATTTTGTAAGTGCAAACTGATAGACTTGCAGAGAAAGAGCAGGCATAAAATCATTAAAAATCCTTTTGTGAGTCAGTAATGAGAGCAGTTTTCTGTTGCTGAGCTTCCATGCAAGCTGCGCTCTGAACAATTTGTTCTGCTGCCCTCGGAGCAAAAAGAAGTCAGAAGTTCAGTTGGAGAGCACCCTGGAGAATAAGTGTTATCAGCCTGCTGCACAAAAACAACATCAAACTATCTGAGCTCTCAAGGTGGTAAATTTTTAAGTCTTGAGGCTAAGGCTGACGATACATTTGCACACTCCTGGCATGTAGCCACATCTTTACCTCAGCTATGTCTTCCTGATATGAAGCAAACCTTTTCAGTTATCGTTGTGGAAAACCAAGACCACGTAGCAGAAGGAAACCAGAATTATCTCATACTACCTGTCCATTTGCATTACTTGATAAGAAATTGAGTCGGAAATGTGGGAATGAGTGGGAAATCTCTGGCGCTAAACATACATTGGTACAGATTGCCACACACACACAACAAAGTCTCCTATACTCTCAAATATGAAGGCAAAGAGGGGGAAGGAAAGAATATACTTTATGGTGTCAGGCGAACATTTTTACCCCTCAAAAACAACATTGCTGCAACTGGTGCGAAGCAGAGCAGACGTTTTCATCAGAAACAGTAAGACACTGAATCGTTTTACCTTTCCGAAATGGCACCACCTGACTCAGTGGCACCAAAGACA